ATTTGATTTAGTTGGTTACTGATTTACTAGATTTTTTTGAGTTTGAGAAAATGAAGAATGCTGGTCGTTACAGCGATACAACTGATTTGAGAATCAATGCTCATAAGTATTCGATGTCAGCTGGATGTCATACCCGTTACCTGCTTCAGTTCCTCCCATCTATCAACGCATCTCTGCTCGAACAGTTCTATGAATCGCCTGAAGATGTGGACTTGATTGTTGGAGGACTTGCTGAGACTCCATCGCGTGGAGCCCTTCTTGGGCCCACTCTTTCTTGCCTATTCGCTGAGCAGATGCAAAAGGTGGGAAGGATTAGGATTTACCTCTTGGTCTTACACGGCTCCTGGAAAGAAAAATAGAAGAGATATCCCAGTTGAGCAGTGGTATCGTATCTTGAACAGCTAAATATTTTGAATTTGAAATCAAGTTTTGTTAAGCATCTACGTCCAAATTTGTTAGAAGTAATACTAAATCAAGAGTATAGCTTGAAGCTGGTTTTGCATTCAACGTACATTGAAAATGATATAATTACTAGTGCATTTAGACTAAACGGGGCGACCGATTCTGGTACGAGAACTTCTTCTATCCATCTTCTTTCTCAACTACTCAACTTGAGGAAATTCGAAAGACAACATTAGCTAGGGTGATTTGTGATAATGCAGATGATATTCGGTATATACAGCACAACGCTTTCAACCTTCAAGATGACTACGGGTGAGCCATAATTCAGATTCTAAAGGAAAGCGGGCCTTCCCATTCTAAATTTTTCCATTGTCTCTTCATTGTTTGCACTTGATGTAACTTTTTATCTAGAAATTGCCCAGTAAGCTGCAATTCGCCCATCATTGACTCCATCAACTTCTCTGTATGGAAAGACGAGGAGCCGAAGCGTGCATTGCCTATTACGAAAGTGATGTTGCAGATCTTACACGTCGTTTTTGCGCCAAGACAACACTGAACTTTTGCAGGCTACCGTGGAAAAAGCGATCCGACTAGGAATAGAACAGTACAATAGGCTTCAGGAATCAGAGGGACGTAATATTCGAGCCCAAGGTCTGGCGCAGATCACTTACTTCAATCTTGGCTTTGAATGCCCAGTAATTTAGGACCACCACCCTCCAGTAGCTCCCAGTCGGCGGTTTTCTCGCATGCTTCGTTGATGGCACCTAAGCGGGAGTCGCTCGACATCGCGCGAGTCGCAGGAGTTCTCAGGGAAGCGACGAAGGTTCTAGTGCATGGGTAGGTAGCTCACAGTGCGGGACTGGCTCAGTGTAGCAGTGTAAAGTCTATATTTAGCACTGGTCTTGAAGAGAGCGAAAAGTTACCCGTGGGATTAGATGTAGCCACA